AAGGGCAACCCCCCCCGCCCCGCGCAGGCTGTGTCCGGGGGGCCCCACGGGTGGCCGGGCCCGCTGCCGCTCCACGAGGCACCTCGGCTACCTGCAGCATATCAGGGCGATGTGCCAGGCACGGCAGGCGTGCTCCCCAGCCGCAGCTCTCCCCGCTGACGAACGATCCCATCCGACCCCCTGCTCCTTCTGGGGCACTTCCAGTATTGCAAGAGCTGCGCCCTGCACTGCTCTGCCTGCAGGCAGGAGCCTCCAGGTTTGTAAAATGCATGTTATATCCGCTCCAAAGCCCTTTTGACTTCCAATCTGATGAGCAGACCACAAACACCATCTCAAGTTGGGCACCCAGGACTGCCAGTCACTTCGAAAAGCACATGGCAAAGCATCATTTTCAAGAAGCCGTTCAGGTTGCAGCATGAAGCATAACGCACCTTAAGGTACACCACAGCTTAGATGCGGTCACGTAACCCGATGTCTCTGGGAACAGACCGCTGTTAAGCATCCCATCTTCCCCAAGCTGCAAGGAGAAGGCTGTCGAGGCTGTACCACATCCCTCACGCAGATGTGGCCACATGTGCATCAGTCACAGCCCTGTCCCCAGCATCACCGCCCAAGGATTTGTCCCGGAGGGACCCTCACCAATGTCACCACGGTCCCAAAACATGGAAGGCGTTGTACGATGGGGGATCCCTGCGCGCAGCTCCTGGCACAGGCACTCGCTGAGACACACAAGGCATCGGTGGGCGAGAGCTCCTCGCAGCCTTGTTTGACTGAAATAATTTTATTTGAATACAATATGCTATTTCAACAATTTTAAGTTGCATGGGGTTATTTAAGATGGACTCCATTTTAATTTAATCAGTTTAATGGGAATTTATATTTTTAGATATAGCACCTCCAAATTGTCTGATTAACTTTTCAGAATCAATACACTTAACAGCAAAGCATACAATTACACAGGCAAATGATCTCCTCCGTGGCTTCCGCATGAGCCATCGCCCAGCTTTGGCTCGCACCACGGGGGTGCAGATCTGGCCCCGTCCCCCCTGCTCTGGTTCAGCATGGCAGCCCGGCCCCCCTCCCCAACTCACGCTCCCAGAGGAAGAGGGTCTCGGGGGCAGCGCGGCTGGTGGGACGCCGGAGGAAGGCCGCCAGCCAGCCGGGTTTGCTTCCACGCACCATTTTCTAAATTGCAACCTGTTAAAGACCCAAAGCATCCCTAGAAAAGCTGGGCTGGGACCGCATCCATTGCGGTGTGGCTGGCAAACGGCCCCGCTTTGCCCGGCGCTGGCACACAGGGATAGCCCCAAGCCGTCCCGTCCCCTCGCCTTGCCCCTTGATACCTCCCTGTCCCCCCAGGTGCGGGTGCAGGAGCCGGCCCCATCCAGCCCAGCTCGCACCAGCATCACTCCCCACACGGGGGCACGGGTCACGTACTGCCTCCGGCTCCCAATTTATTCCGCCAGCCTCAAATATCCCCCTTGCTTTTGTCAAGTTGCATAATTTTTGAACTTACATACTTGAAAAATTCTTTTAGAAATGTCAAGGTGACTGGCGTATTAAAAATGAGCCAGAGCAAACAGGAATGACATTATTTTAATTCTTTCAGTGCCAGGTCATTTTCTCTGTAATAACACAGCTTAGATACCAGCCTCCTGCCCCTTGCATCATCCTTCCCGTTACTTTCTCTGTTGTTTTTATTTGTTCATCTGCTTCATAAAAGCAAGGGGGAGAAAGAAAAGCCACTATTGTCGTGAAAACCCCTTTCGCCGGGATTTGTTTCCCAAATCCCACGGAAATTTCACAGGATTCGGGCAAATTCAAACTCCCTTGAAATCTCTGACCTAACACAGTAAAATCCCATGTTTTCTTTTAGTATCTGGGTGATTTTCTTCAGGGAAGCATTCCAAATTTACACACCGGACCACACGTTATTGTAATAATCTGTATTAGTAATACCTGGCGCATTCCCAGCCGCAGGCTACAAGGCGCATCATGTTGGTTTGCGGATGAAGGAACCGAGGTCCGGGGAAGTCAAGTCCGTTAGCGGGGCCAGGACGAGCCAATGCTCAAAATTCTGCCCTTTCCACTGGGCTATGCTGCTCCTGGAGGTGGCCAGCAAAAATACACACCTGTATCGCTCCGGTTGTAGATGGTGCCCTTCCCCTGGGGCTATAAACACCCTGCAATTTGCAGAATATTTATAATTAACGCACCACAGCGTGAAGGAAATCCTGTGATGGCTCAAGGCACAGCAGCACCGTGATCCAGCTGAAGCCATTTGGTTAAAAGAAAAAAAAAAAATCACATTTCTTTTCCTTTGGCTCATGGGCAGCAGCTGGCAGCAGGGCACAGGGGGATGCTCCTGGCTCTGCTTTCGGCCGCAGGGGTTTTTTTTTTACCCCTCTCCTTGCACCACCTCTCTTCGAGCACCAGCCCAGCTGCTCTAACTCACCAAACCAGCAGAAGAGTCACCTTTTGCCAGCCGGGTTTGTTTTCTGCTGGATCAGTGAGTTGAACCAGGTCATGGAGGAGCATCGGAGCAGGAGCAGCAGTAGGAGCAGTCGAACCAGGTCATGGAGGAGCATCGGAGCAGGAGCAGCAGTAGGAGCAGTCGAACCAGGTCATGGAGGAGCATCGGAGCAGGAGCAGCAGTAGGAGCAGTCGAACCAGGTCATGGAGGAGCATCGGAGCAGGAGCAGCAGTAGGAGCATACCAGGGGACCGGAGGGGGACCTCCCCCCGCCAAACAGAGCTGCATTGCATACATTCACCTTCTGCAGCACAGGTGGCTGGGCCGCTGGGCTCAGAAGGGCTCGTGGCTTGGAGGTGCCACATTGTGGGGCTCGACGAGGTGAAAAAAGCTATTTTGAGGGTCACCCGTCCTCCCGACCCCCTGGCAAGAGGATGCTCTGCAGGGACAGCGGGAGGGCAGGCACCCCTGGACCACAGCATCCCCGCTTTGGAGGTGCCGAATGCTGTGTAAATTGCTGAATATCGAATAGGGAGGAGAGGGCACCTTTTGGAGGTGCCATTGTGGGGCTCGACGAGGTGAAAAAAGCTATTTTGAGGGTCACCCGTCCTCCCGACCCCCTGGCAAAGAGGGCAGGGACAGCGGGAGGGCAGAGGGCAAGGGCTCGTGGCTTGGAGGTGCCACATTGTGGGGCTCGACGAGGTGAAAAAAGCTATTTTGAGGGTCACCCGTCCTCCCGACCCCCTGGCAAAGAGGATGCTCTGCAGGGACAGCGGGAGGGCAGGCACCCCTGGACCACAGCATCCCCGCTTTGGAGGTGCCGAATGCCGTGTAAATTGCTGAATATCGAATAGGGAGGAGAGGGCACCTTCCCTGCCTTCCTGACCGGCACAGGGATGCTGAGAAGCGACCGGGGGAGCTGGTAACATCTGACACTGCCACAGCTGTTTGCTTGAGCAAACAGCAGCCAAGCCTTAAGGCCTCTTTCTGCTCGCCCAGCTGCCAGACCTCGCTCCGACTTCAGGCAGGAAAAAACATTTCCTCAGGTAGGGCATTAACTATGCGATTGAACTAGGGAGTTTTTTTTTTCTCCAGCTGTGCATACAGTAAGTAAAGCCCACGAGTCAATGGGCGCTAAGCTCGCACTTCAACGCTAAGCCTGTGCCGCGGTGGATTGAAGCGTGTTCCCGGGCTCTCCACGGAGCGCACGACCAGGAGCAGGCAGGGGGGCTTGCAGATGCACCGGCATCCCACCCCTGCCCCCAGGAAAGCGAGGGGGACGCCCTCTCCAGCCCAGTTTGCGTCATCTTAAACAATACGGATGGTTCTTCTCCAACCCGCTCTCCCCACCGCTGCTGATGCAGGTGGGCGGGGGACAGAGCCGGGCACAGAAAAGCCGGGTTTAAGGGCAGCATTTACACTGCTTGGAGAAAAATCACTCATGAAAAACTGCTGAAACTGTGGCCAGCTTGAAAGCAGACAACTGGAAACGGCGCTCGGCAGCGCCCAGGGCTAAGCCTGCGCTAAAGCACAGAGGGCAATAAACATGCTGCTGCGAGGAAAAAAAAAAAAAAATTATATATTTTTTTCCAGTGTTTGTCTGAGCAAACAGAAGCTATTTGCAAATGGTTTTGAGGTGGTAGCGGCCTTCCTCTGCGAGTGCCAGAGACTCAAGAAAGCACAGGGGGTGTTTCCTCACCCAGTGCAAACAGGGAGATGCGCAGCCGGCCCGTGCTCCGGGCACCCCGGCAAGAGCGCGGCAGCCTCTCCTCCCCTCGGCAGGTGATCCGGGCCACACCACCTGCGGGGAAGGACGGAAGAGGGGAGATCCCTTCAGCCTGACCGTGCAAAAAAAAACAAAAACAAAAAAAAAAGGCAAAAGCAGCACCCCAACGCAAGGAGGGGGCCGGGGGGCGGTGGGCGCGCAGCCCTGCAGGACCCCGCAGCCCCAGCCTTCTAAGCAAGGGCGCATCTCCGCAGCCGGGAGCGCAGGCCAGCCGGGGACATTTCTGGGCGTCAGAGCCCATCCCCGTGGCCAGTAGCCACCGTCCCCGCAGACCTGGCCCGCCCTGGACGGGGGGACCACGGGCAGGGCGAGATGCTTTCCGGCTCTCTGGTTTCCTCCAGCCGGAGCGTGCCTGGGCAGAGCTGCTCTGCAAGGGGAGCTGCTCCAGATTTTCTATTTATGGGTTCTATTCATCCCCAGCCGGGTTTCGGCAGTGCCCTGCCAGAAAAGTTACCTGCTTCTCTGTCTTGGCAGCCAGGAAACCTCAGCCAGCTTGAGGAGACCATAGGAAATGGCAAAGCCTCAGGCTCCAGCTCTCCAAAATAAGGTGCAGCTAAATTAATATGGTGTGAGTGACTGGTGAAGTGATGTCACCTCGGCCTTACAGCGAGCCGGGGCGGGGAGGGGGGGGGATAAATGCACCCCTCTGTCCTGACTTCATCCCACTCTTCCCAGAAATGCCCTGGCTGGGCTGAAGGAAAGGCACCGCGAAAAGCTGCGGCTCGAGACAGAGAACACACGCACCCAGGGAAAAACTGGGGAATATTAAGGGATTTAACACGAAGCCGTCATTGCCTTTCTTTCACAACAGGAAGGGAAATCCTCCTTCTCTTTCTTTTTTGTACTAACAAGAGAAACCCTCACACTACGACCAGGGGCTCTAAAAACCTCTCATTTCCAATGAGGCACTTAAGAGAATTGTGAGATTTGGTGACCGCAAGCACCTCTTAAGAATTAAGAATTCTTAAGAGAATTGTGAGGTTTGGTGACCGCAAGCACCTTTTGAGTTTCACCTGTTTTCAGCGCTTTCCCCTTTCGATTGGTTTTGTCCGTAGCTAAAGGGATAAACTACAAATATATAACTCCCATCAAGATGAAAAGCACCATCTCTCTTGTACATCAGCATTTGGACCAAATACTGAAGGCACTGTAGCTTCTGAGCACTCGTTTGGCTGCTGTATTTCTGTACAGCATGGCTCACTGCAATTTCCATCAGAAATTCAAGCTCATCCATTACCATGCCTGCATTTAATCTAGCAGGATTTAGACAAATTCCACCACGCTATTTAAATATTAATTAAGATTTCTCACCCGGCGCATCCTGCATATCCTTTCAAACAGCTTTCATCCCTCCAAATCTGGGAGACGTTTTTCAAGTAGGTTTATGGCAAACAGGCAGGGGCTGGCAGGCGCCGAGGGATGAATGGCAGCCTGGCTGCCTTGCCATCCCCCAGACCCCTCGAGAGCCGAGGAGCCTGGCGAAGCCCTCGCTGCGGGGATTGGACCAGAGCAGGGCAATGGGTAATTAGCAGAATTACTCCCCGCTCCGCCCTCAGCTCCCTAGGTTAAAAGGTTGGTCCAGTCTTGGGTGACCTGGGATTAAGGGGTTCCTTCCTATTGCCGGAGCTGAGATAAATCCAGCTCTTTGCTCTTGCTGCTCTGCTATCTTGCGTGGCCAAGCGCACACGCTCACTCAGCCGTCTGCTTGCTGGGCTGCTCTTCTTGCTTTAAGTCTGTTAAATACGCCTGTAGGCATAAGCCTTGCAAGTCCACAGGGTTCAAGTGGCATAAGGGTCCCCTCCTGCCCAGTGCCATGCCTCTGCCCCTTCCCCGCTTTGTCAGGGTAGATTTTCCTGCATCAGCACTCCATGGACCAACCCGAATATTTATGCCAGTAAAGCCAAGGTTTGGGCACAGGGGGAGAACTTGGGCACAAAAACCTGCACTTTGATGCGTGCAAACGAAAACCTAACTGAAGGGTAAGAGCACGGGCCGAACTCGACAGCTCTGAGCAAGTGGGGCTTGGGGAAGGGAAAGAGGGGATGCAGACAAGGCATCCCACCACCCAGCCGGCAGCTGTGCCCCGCAGCCAGGCTGTGCCTCCCACAGCCCATGCCACGTCTCCCAGCCCGCAGGGAGGACGTGAGAGGCATTCGGATGGAGCAGCGGGCTGAAAAGCTGGGTCAGACGGGGCGCAGCAAGCCGACCCTGGCCGGTGCTCACTCCAAGACGTGTCCTGTGTACCTTGGCCGTGGCCCCAGCCCAAATTGGCGGCCAGACCCACGCCATGTCCCCCCTCTGTGGCAGCTTGCAAGGGGAGAGGGGTCCAGGATGATCGAGGTTTGGGGACACCCCTGCAGCCCTGGGGTTGTCCCCCATCCCGTGCACCCCGCACCAGCGGCTCCCCCATCCCCAGGCTCTCGCGGAGGTGTGAATATTTGGAGGAGCAGACACAGGGGCATTGAGCGGGGCTGTGAAACGCAGCAGTGTCTGCCACACTCCCGGCCGGCACCGCCGAGCTGCCAGCGTCCAGGAGCTGCCGGGACACCAGCCAGGGCAGGAATAAGTAACACCACTGTGGTTCCCCAGACCGTGTAAACAAATACCTGCTCAACACAGCTCCCCGCCCGAGCTCTGCCGGCTGGCATCGGGGGGACGCGCAGAGCCCCGACCTCCATCTCTCCCTACGAGCAGAGATTAACACCACCTCCTCACCCACCGTGGAGGAGAAAGGTATTCAGGTATTTGCATACCATCCAGGTATTCTGGGGATAAAACAGCAGCAAAGCACCCTGGAAGGTGTCAGCAACCTGCCTGCGAGCAGGGCTGAGGAGCGGGCAGCTCCATCCATCCCTCGCACGGTCCAAGGAGGGCCCACGTAGGTAACGCACCACATGCTGACAGCAGGAGCAGGGGTCTTGGCGTGCACACGTGAACAGAAACACCGCCAACCTTCCAAGCTTCATCTGGCCTCCCCCTCGTTTGGGGGGTTTTTTTGTTTGGTTGGGTTTTTTGGGGTTTTTTTTGAGATACTTGCTTTATAAATGCACAAACTGCAATAAAGGTCTTTTTCCCTTATCATTTGTATGGGGATGCATGCTTTTCCAGTAGCAAGGTGGCTTTTAAACTACATGGAGTTTCTTTTTGGTAATGCCTTCATTTGCCAAAAAATGGTCATTTTCCTGAAAACTCTTCCTGTATGAGGTAGCAGAAGCCCCAAAGTTAAGAGGGGAAAGAGTCTGAAGAGCTTAAAGATGCTATTTTCTGGAAAACAAAAAGGCAGCAGCTGTGCTGAAGACATCCCCAGCGTACTGGCCATTAACTGAGCTGGTCAAAAACCTCCAGCCGGTTACGTTTTGGCCAGAAAACTGTTCCTAATCAAAGGTGCAGTTTTACCACATCTCCCAATAACATAGTATTTTAGGAGGGGAAACGAAGTTTTAAAATTCATCAGTACCTGTTTGTTTAGCATTTTGGAAGGATCCTATCCCGGCGCTTCTTAAAAGATAAATTTTCTTTACTGGAAATGACTTTCTGCTTTGAGATTGCAAGCGATGTTAAAAAACCAAACCAAAACCAAACCCTAAAGCATGAAATAAAAGAACTGGAAAGTGCCAAACCCAACAGTTGGCTGGAGCCAGGCTGCCTTTCTTCGCAGCCGTGCACCTTGCAGGTGCCGCGGGGTTTCAGCCCCGCAGACCAACCTGCTGGCAAAGCACGCCGGCGGGGTTTCAAAGGCACAGCAGCCTTAATAACTGTGGTTATGGGATACGGGAAATTCCCTTTGAAAGTACCGATACGCCTCCAGCTAGCCCCCCTTTGCTTTGGTTTGCCAGCCAGGGCGAGAAACACACCTAGAACCACCCCAAATCCCGGCGTAGCCAGGCGGGGCGGCTCTGGGGGTCGGCTCCCCGGCAGAGCTAACAGGAGAGGGCAGCAGAGATTCACATTTCGGGCTCTGCAGGCGGCTGGCCCGGGGCTGCGGGGCCGGAGAGGGTGGCAGGCAGGGAAAGGGAGGGGGGGGGGGGACACACAGCTTTGCAAAGTGCCAGAAACGCCCGGATAAACGAGGCTCCATCACCCGCGGCCGCCCCGTTTGCACACCGGCTGGCCCGCGGGT